ATGTAAAAGTTCCACATGAGCACAAGTAAGTGTTCTCATTCTGTGTAATGTTATCCATAATTTTTTATAATCCACACAATCAAAAGCCTTCACATAGGTGATAATGCACGGGCAAACATCTTTTCTGATATTCTCTGCCTTCAGCCAATACCCATCTCATACCAGCACTGAGGTCCCTTGGTCCACATTCTATTCTGAATTTGGCTTGAACTTCTGGGAGGTATCTATTGATGGATAGATGGAGTTGTTTTCGATTTACCTTCAGCAGAATTTTGCTAACATGATATTGATGTTATTGTTAGATAACCTCTGCATTGTGTGGTTGCCTTTCTTTGGAATGGGGATGACTATGGATCTCTTCCAGTTGGATGTGACAGTCTGGGAACTAAGCAAACAAGAGAATGTGGGTCCTGTCTGCATGGGGCAGCCATGCCTCAGCTGGAGCTGATTACTGTCATGTGAAAATGGAAACTGAGTGCAATCAGAGTTTCTGATTATTCATGGAAGCTGAAGTCTTATTTTTAAATGTTAAAAATATTAAAATTTTTAAATACTCTAAGTGAGCCACATATCTTCCTGTAGAATCCAGTCTATGAGATGTTAGCTTGTAACACCTGACAGAAATAAATTCATGAGGCAATTTGCTCATATATTCTGTGGATTTTAGTCTCTAAAACAAACTCAATTAGGTATTACTTCATTTCAAAAGTCTCATTATCACACATTATTTCTCATGGTGAAGAAAGTTTACAGTTTTCAAATAACTAAAGCGTTTCAAAAGACTTTTACCTTCTTATATGTATGAGACAAGTTTATATAACAAAGCAGAAAAAACTATAAAGACTAGACCAGATTCTAATTTTGGATGAATAGAGAAAAAAAAAAATGCCACAAAATACACAAAGTCAACCCAGTTACCTGCAGTGTCTTTATGAAAGGGTTTTTCCCCCACTGACCAAGATGGCTTAGTCACTGCCCTCTTACTGTAGATCCCTTCTTTATGTTTAATACTAACACTGTCTGAGAAGTCATCATCCCTTGTGCCTAGCACTTGACTTGGGAAGTCTGGAGCAATGGCATCATTGGATCCTACAAGAAAAGAGAAAAACAGAATAAAGACATATACATACATGAAGGTGAAGAAAGACGTTTTTAAAAATTGCGTCTTATTGCACCTTGTATAAAAAAGACACTATGGTGAAAATTTTGTAGGGTGATCAGAAGGAAATGGCTGTATACCTGAACCTATATGACATGTATAATAAATGGCAACAGCACAAGATAAGGAAGTAAATGACATAAGAGGAGTATAAAGTGGAACATCAGTTCAGAAGGGACATTATTTCCAACTCAGGAAGGGTTTTGGAGGAAGAAAATGTATTGTACCTTAAAAAATAAGCAAGTTGTTTGATATAGGGAGAGGAAAGAAGGCAGGTATTTTGGTAGAAGTTATAGCATGAACAAAGGCAGGAAAGTAAAAACTGGACAAACAGCAGACATTTTTGTGTTCAGGCTAGGTTACAAAATATATTAAATAGAGTGGTAGATGGTTTAAAAAAATAATGCTTTGGGCCAAAATTCAGCAGAACATGGAATTTCAAGTCAAGAGAGTGTACGATTATTAAAGATTTTTAAATAAAGGGATAATATAATCAGCTTTGTTTTAGAAAGAATAATTTGCCATTAATACAAAAGACAAAATGTTGAAAGAAAAACTATGTGATTAAAAAATAGAGAATTTTAAAACATATATTTAAACATTCCTATATTCATTGAAAAGAGATGATTATCTGTTTTTCATCCCAAGTCTACAAGGCAGAAGAACATCTCTGGGTTTATAAAGGTTTGTAGCAACTACAGAATTATCTTCTACAAAAAGCCTTTTCTTTCTAATCTGGAATCTCATACTCATGTATTTCCTGAGCTTCTAATATGTATATGGTAGTAAGAAATATGCATATGGTGATAAGAGGTTGGTGTGTACCTGACTCACCACTATAGTGCAAATAAAAACAAAACATGATAGGCTTTTCAGGGCAGATTTCAAGGACCAAAGGCCTTCTAGGTCAAATCTAAGATTACTACTGGGTTCCTCTCAGTGTCTCCTATTCACCTCATATCTATTTCGAGTAAATTCTTAGTATCCATTGTTCCATCAAATCTCTCCATGCTAGAGAGTTCCTTAAGAAGTCAGAACTGGGCTCTCTTTTCTCCCTAGGTCAGCTCACTGATTACCAAGGTTTGGAACACTATATATTGATAACTTTGGACCTTTTTTCTCAGCTTCAGGCTCTTGCATACAGGGACATAATTAGCTTTTACAGCACTTTTATGGAAATCAAAAAAGATGTCACTTCTTTAAATTAAAAAAGTATATATATTAATTACTGTATATTATGGTGCACAATCAGGCAGTGTTTCATCCTGTTGTACATTGGTCACTATGAGTTGGAGACAACTTGATGACACCTAACAACAGCAACAACAGTATGGTACAGCGCAAGCAACGGTACATGGTAGCCCTTCTCCCTTCAAACACTCCTACACACCAACAGCAGCATGCACACTCTGTACCAATATTCCTTGTCCTCCAAGAGAGGTGATTATGTCAAGTTCAGAGTCAGGTGAGGAACAATTATTAGGTCACTGAGAGCATTCTGCAGGTGAATAAGAGAATCAACATCAGTGGATTGAGAGTGCAGGTGAAAGAAAGTGCAGCCACATGCATGTGTGCATGCTAATGAGCATATGTACATTTATTTTCCTGTGTTTGTGCACAGTTGTAGCATGTAAAAGTGTAGATTTATGTTTGAGGCACGATGAGAATTTGCATTACTACTCCAGAACACCTGGAACCTCAATGCCTACCTGTATATAGTTTATAATATAAACAATGTCACCTTATATGTGGTGCCCCTCTATACAACCTCAATATTTGAAAACTGACTCTATCTACGGTCAATTATAGATTTAACATCTCTACTTGGATATGTAACAGGAATCTCAGTTTTAACATGTCCAAAATGGACATCTGATTATCACTTCTAAATCTGTCCTGGAAGAAGTGCAGCTGGAATGCTCCACAGAAGTGAAAACGGCCAGGTTTCGTCTCATCCACTTTGGTCATGTTGTCAGAAGGGACCAGTCATACTGGAAAAGGATATCATCCTTGCTAAAGGAGCTCTGGTAGCATAGTGGCTAAAGCACTTGACTGCTAACCAGAAGGCTGGCGGTTCAAACCCACCAGCCACTCCTCGGAAGGAAGGTTGGGCAATCCTACTTCCGTAGTGATACTGCCTTGGAAACCCAAGGAGGGGTCGCTATGAGTCGGGGCCGACTTGACGGCACATAACAACAACAACAACAAAGTAGAGGGTTAGCATAAAAAGGGAAGACACGCAAAGAGATGGATTGACACAGCGGCTGCTAGGATGGGCTCAAGCATAGCAAGGATTGTGAGGATGGCACAGGAAGGGCAAGTGTTTTGTTCTGCTATACATAAGGTCCCTGTGAGCCAGAGCTGACACGACAGCAGCTAACAACACCCCAAATTTGCTTCTCAGCTGTTGTCGTTGGTTTTGTAATGTGCCGACGAGTCAATTCTGACTCAGAGCAACCCTATGTGTAACAGAAACAAACACTTCCTAGTCCTGCTCCAGCCTCACAATCCTTGCTATGCTTCAGCCCACTGTGTCAATCCATCTCATTGAGTGTCTTTCCCCTTTTTCTCCGACACTCCACTTTACCAAGGATGACATCCTTCTTCAGGGTATGGTCCCTTCTGACCACATGACTAAAGTAAGTGAGATGAAGTCTGACCGTTCTCTCTTGTAAGGAGCATCCCAGCTGTACTTCTTCCAGGACAGATTTGTTTGTTCCTCTGGTAGTCCATAGTATTTTCAGTATTCTTTGCCAACACCACAATTCAAAAGCATCAATACTTCTTCCGTCTGCCTTATTCACTGTCCAGCTTTCACATGCATATGAGGCGAATGAAAATACCACAGCATGGGTTAGACATAACTTAGTCTTTGGCATTCAAACATTGCCATGCAACATTTCCCCAGCAGATTTGCCTAGTGCAATGTAACACCTGATTTCTTGACTGCTGCCATGGGTGTCAACTGTAGATCTAAGTAAAATGAAATTTTTGACAACTTCAATCTATTCTCAATTTATCATACTGCTTTTTGTTCCAGTTGTGAGGATTTTTGTTTTCTTTAACTTGAGGACATAATGAAGACTGCATTCTTTAATCTTCATCAGTAAGTGCTTCAAGTCATACTCACTTCCAGAAAGCAAAGTTGAGTCATCTGCATATTGCTGGTTGTTAATGAGTCTTCCTCCAAACCTGATGCTGTATTCTTCTTCATGTAGTCCAGCTTCTCAGATTATTTGCTCAGTATACAGCACACCTTTTCTGATTTTAAGGCATGCAGTTTCTCCTTGTTCTGTCTGAACGACTGCCTCTTGATCTATGCACAGGTCTCTCATGTGCACAATTAAGTGTTCTGGAATTCCCATTCTACTCCATGTTATCCATAATTTGTTATGATCCACAGCTGAATGCCTTTGAATAGTCAATAAAACACCAGTAAACATCTTTCTAGTATTCTTTGCTTTCAGCTAAGATCTATTTAACATCAGGAATGATATCCCTCATTCCATTTCCTCTTCTGAGTCCAGCTTGCATTTCTGGAAGATCCTTGTCAATGTACTGCTGCAACTATTTTTGATTTATATTCAGGAAAATTTTATTTGCATGAGATATTAATGGTATTGTTTGATAATTTCCATCTGGTGTTGGATCACCTTTTCTTGGAATGGGCTTTTCCCTTCAACCTCTCCCTTTCAGTAAATGACAACTCTGTTCACTTACTTGCTCATGCTTAAAACTAGAAATCATTCTTTGTACCTCTTTCTTCCTCACTTCCCACACTGTATTTATGGGCAAGTCTAGGAGGAATTATTTCCTAAAAGTTAACTGTATCCACTTCTCTCCAATTCTATTGCCATTACTCAGTTTTGCAGCCTTTCTTTCACTAAAGTAGAGATACATTTTAAAAAGAAGTTAGGGTCTAATGTCTATCTGTAAGGTGAAAAAATATGCAGAGTGAAAATCACCCTTGAAGGTTTCTTCAGAAGGCACCATGTTGAAGTTGATATGTCTGCTCAGTAAACCCTGCAGAGTTCACTTTATCCTCCAGGCCTGCAACATACCACTTCCCTTATATCTGAGCACCTGGTATCATCTGACTACCCAGCTTTGTATTTAGAGGCCATGTTATAACAAAAAGAGTTCTTTAAACTCTACAATCATACACAGGGAAGTAAGAGAAGTTATTTATCCTATAAAGGGCCAATTACAATTACAGTCAACCATGAGAAGGGAGGTTCCTCATCTCTCATTTCACTCTCCCTCAGAGTCACGATGTTCATAGAGGTAGAGTGCAGGAAATATGCTAAATTGTCAGAAATAGATAACACATTGGAAGGGCAAAGGAGAAGAATTGATGCAATGGAAAACAGAATTAATGAGATTGAAGAAAAATACCTGAATACTTCTTTGGAAAGGGATCAATCAGAAAAATAATCAAAACAAAATGAAGAAAGCCTAAGGTTCATGTGGGATACCATGAAAAGGAATAACCTACGTGTCACTGGAATTCCAGAACAGGAAGAGAAAAACAAAACCACTGAGAAAATTGTCCAAGATCTGTTGGAGGAGAACTGCCCTGATATAATGAAAGATGAGAATATATCCATTCAGGAAGTCCAATGAACCCCAAACAGGATAGACCCCAAAAGAAAATCAAGACACATCATCATCAAACTCATCAAAACCAAAGACAAAGACAGAATCCTGAAAGCTGCACGGGAAAAACAAAAAGTTACTTACAAAGGACAGCCAGTAAGAATAAGCTCTGATTTCTCAGCAGAAACCATGCAAGCAAGAAGGCAATGGGATGGTATCTATAAAACCCTGAAAGAGAAAAATTTTCAACCAAGAATTATATATCCTGCAAAACTGTCCCTCAAATATGATGGTGAAATTAGGACATTTCCAGATAGGCAGAAACTAAGGGAAT